CGCGACCGAGCAATATAGATTTTCGTGCATTCCTGAACGCCTTCGACTCTTGTTCGTCGTTGCCGTGTCTGTCTGCAGGCAGTTGAGATTGCGAACAAGCAGCGGCGGTGATTGTTCGTGGCCCGTTGCCTCGTCGTGAGGAAGCTTACGAACAAGAGGCCGCAGTGCTCTCCATCACAACTCGAGCGACACCCAAGCCATTGCCATTACCACTGCCGCTGCAACGCCGTCGTCGCTAGCGTCACTCGAGCAACTCGCTACGCGCGACTCGTCGTGGTGCTTGGGGCCATCCCACCGGTGGCTGGTCAAGTCAAGTTGAAAAAGCTGTGGAGAATCGCGACCAACTGTAGCAGCAGCCAACGCAACGCGCCCAGTAGATACATTACCAAGCTGTCGAGCTCGATCGCGGCGAGCGTGGGCCGACCCCGAGCGCCGGCGCCTCATAGTTCGACTGCTTTTCGGCGGTGCGACTGGAGCGCTGACGCTGGTGCTTCTCCACGAGACGCTCAAGGGAACGTGCAGCACTCCGTGGGAAGCTGTACGCTTAGTCGAGCGTTTGGCTGCCGTCGTGGCCTCAACGATCGTCGGGTTCGTGGCACGCGGGTGCAAGCCCAGATCCAAGAAGTGGACGCTGCGCTTCGAGGACTCGAAATGTATACCCCGGGAAATTTTTTCCGTATGCAAAGTCGCATGGATCATGAATTATGGATGGTTACTTCAACGAGGCGAGCATTCCCTCCCGGTCAGGCTTCGATTTTGTTTTAGCATTTCTAGATCGTTGTCCAGAATGTTCTCGTATCCTAAGTGCTGCTTTGTCCTGAAATGCACCACTTTTCACACGTGAAAGAAGATAGTCGCAGACTCTCTCTCCGCATCCGAGCTACTACTTTCCGGCCGCCTTCTTGGCCGCCTCGATGTATCGTTTCACATCGATATCCGGTCTGTTGATGATCTTGTTAATACTCGCAACGGGGGCTTTCCATACCCCACCGTTCCCGTTCCCCCTGCCGCTCTGGACAACTTGTTGGCCTGCAAACCGAAGGGATCTTTTGGCCGCAGAATCAGGAGATACCTTCGACAAGAGCGGAGAGTCGTCAGGATTCGAGGGCTCTGCGACGACGGTGCTGCAAGCTAAAGCCGCAAAGCCAAGAGCAACGTAGAATAGACTGCGCATGACTGTGGAGGAGAGGGAGTCCGCTGGAAAGAAGGGTCTTGTGGTCTTGAAAGACAAACGTGGAATGACTGCCGACCATCGTAGGATAGTTGACGATGCCCCGCACTGTACTGTATCGTCAGACAAAAACTGAAGACTTGTCACAATGTTGACTCTGTGCAGCATCAACTCCCCAGCAGAAAATAGTATCACAGGTGGGTGTTCATAGCCGCGGCGCCAACTGGGTGCGAGTACGTGCCAAAATCCGCGCGGTATTTGCGGAGGCGGGCCCAGCGCCGAGCTCACCAGCAAGCCGTGCATTACACTCTTCACCCGCATGCACTCTCCAGGACATCGTATCTTCATATCGCGAGCATAAGGAATCACGGGGGTGCCGAAGGCGTCTCTAAGGCGTCTCTAATCCTCGATTACTTCTTGCAACATCCAGGAAGAAGTCAAAAGATTTGCTGTCGTCTAGGACATGTTAGGCCAACACATAACATTGTTAGCATGAGATGAGGCCCTCCATTTGGGTAAACAGATGACAGTAGGTAATGCCCCAAAAAGGGCAACACGCGAACCCAAAAGGGCCGACCCACGCCTCCATTCGAGGCTCGAACAAACCAAACCAAACCAAACCAAACCAAACCAAACCAAACCAAACCAAATGGTTTGGTTCGAACGTTTCATAAAAGAATACCGATTTCGAACCTGAAACTCTCGGTATACTGGTTCCTTGAAACCAATTAAACCATCGTGGCGCGGACGAACCGTACGTTTTAGTTTGAAAATGGCGCCCGACACCGTAGAACCAAGTAGCCGCAACGAACCTTGGTTCAAACGGTTACTTGGTTTTGCTCATTCTGCGAACCATTTGGTTTGGTTTGGTTTGGTTTGGTTTGGTTTGTTCGAGGCGTGGGCTGACTCACATTTGCTGTTTACGGGTAAACTGCGAGTTGACCCAATTTCTTTGTTGAGAGTCACTGCGCCCCTGGCCCAATAGCAAGTTGAGGGTCAACTGCATAACTGACCTACGTTCCCCGCTCTGGGTTATCTATAGCAAATTCCGATGAAAAAGGGTGATTTATAATGTGATGCCTTGTTGTGGTAAGAACGCAGCCGCACTCGATTCCGCGTGAACTGCACGATCGGGTGATCCTGCTAAAATGGCAAAAAAATAAATAAACTAGAGCTCTGCGTAGGCTGGGATAGCTTGGTAGTTCGCATTAGTACTTCACCATAAATCACGCCGCGAATAGAGTAAGGTATCTAGCGGGTCACATTGCCAGAGTGTCAGAGCTATACGTTCAAGTACGGGGACTGCTGGCACATGAAAAATGGTAGGGCTAACAAAACACAATAGAAGTTTGGTAGTTGACTATGGCAAATGAGCAGATAATCAGCGGGCACGTAACGCCAGTACGAGTACTGCATTCCTCCTGCACCGCCCGATACTTACGTATCTTATATCTCCATCGAAGGGTTATTGTTTGACCTGTTTAGTTAGCTGACAAGAAAGACACAAAAACAAAAAAGCGTTCTCAGGAATTCGGTAATTCTAACATGCAGCACAGCTACCACCTTCTCAATTAACAGTACCGGTAAACGTGCGAGAACTGCTTCTAGGAATAGCGATATTTTTTGCTACGTTGGGTCTACAGCTACGGCATCTAACCTTGGTTTGCAAGTGGAGGTATGAAAAGAAATATAGATCGACTGTGGTTTGATCAATACTGCAAGTAAAACCTCACGCACGCAGCAGGTTATCGTCATTATTCTTGTGCGTCTTGATGAAGGTCTTGGAGCGACTTGTCTCCCGAACGAGTCTAGTTTTTGAAAGCTTTGTACCAGGGTAGGTAGGGCCTGTAAAACAACAAACAAAGTAGCGCGCTTACACCATGTTCAACACCATTCTCTCTCCTCAAGAGACAACAAGCTCCTACCTTCACGGCTGTTCCGTCCACAGCAAGCAACACAGCGCTGACAAAATAGATTTCACAACAAACTTTCGAATGAGCGGCGTCGCCTGCTGCTCCGTTGACACAGTCTTACGACGTTATTATAATAATGGTACCACAAAATATACTTTTCGCCCCAGCTATCACTGATAGATAGCCTATCAGCAGTACTACCGGTATTGGTCGCAGTCAACGTGATGACTGCGACAATGAATCTTGCGGATAACGCAAAGTAAGATTATAGTACCCCGTGCGTAACGGAATCCTGATGATCAGGCAGAAATCAAGTGAACTATAACGACAAACTAGATGCCCATTTAACGACAACTTTAATGACGGCAACTGCAGCTCCACTGGTTAGCAGGAGCCGCAGCATTAGGAGTAACTCGTGTCCCTACTTGCGCCGTTCCGTGCCAACTGCGCCACCGACTTGATCGCTGCGGTAGCCTATACATTTTGATCCGATCTTACTGCCGAGGTTTGGCCAGGTAAAGTTGGATGAAATGCAGTCTAATATATCATCTAGCTATCGTGGCTATTCAATACTTTATCTATCGAATCAGACTAAGCATATTTCTTTCAGCGTATTTAGCTTTTATTTTTGCTTTAAATTGATTTAACCGCGTACCGCTCAGCTCGTTGCGCTTTACAGCAATGTTATGATTGTAGCACCACCCTATTTTCAATGTTGAGAGACGTTGTTTTCATTGATTAATTGCGCATTATTGTGGGGGGTGCCTCCGGCCCGAAGAAGCTCTGAAATTTCAGGTTTTCAAAAAAAAATTGGTGAGGCAAAAGAGGAAAGGGATGCACGTTAGGTTGAAATGTTCTTCTCCTCGACACTTCAGCAATTTCAGCGTTCTTATCCAATTTTTCAATCGCTGCAAGATCCACGCTCAGCTTCTCCACGAAATTCGGGTTCCTCTCCATGACCTTGTCCAGCTTGATCACAATGGACATACTATCCTCTTCACAGCACTTCTCAGAGTGGAAACACGCCGGATTACACAATTCAACATGCAGACAGTTTACCTGCTCCTGGGGGCGCTTGTTGTCAGCGCCAATGCCGCTATTGTCGCTCAGGAATAAGCTACACAAGCAACTACCACGTACTCACAGTGCTAACGAAGATAGAGAGCTACCAACTAACGAAACGAGAAGGAGGAGAACATGTTCGCACCCTCAGCTGTCGCAAATTGCGACTCGCAATCCTCAGAGGTCTCCTCGGGAAAATCACTGGTACCGTCATGAGCTGAAATGGACTCATCGTACGGCATCCCTCCGCTGGGCACTTTTGAGATGATGAGGTATATTGGACAACTTCTCCTAACGAGGATTGAGTCCTAACAACCCTACTTCCGTGGTTTAACACTCGGCCGCTTCCTCTCCACTATTCCCTTGTAGGTGTTGATCTATTAGTGCCTCTGTTGCATCTGTGTGCGTGTTAGCCCACTCAAGCATACATCGCGACACTAGTGTGTCGATATGTGGGAATCTTGCCTGAATTGCCTCTGTTTCGAGGTCGTGCGTCAGCTCTTCCTCCGTTACTGTCAAGGCCAGGGTGCGCGCTGCAGCGTTCCCCGACTTGCTCAAGAGTGTCCATGACGCGACTCGCACTCTGTCCGCGGTACGTCTGCACTTAAGAAACCACATTTGTAGTCGTCTTGCTTTTGGTGGCGCTCGAGTTTTAAGTACTCGCAGGATCAGCTCGTTGTCCCCAGCGACATGGATGCCTCTGAGTCCACGTGTGTCTGCAGCGCTGAGCAGATGATAAAGGGCGACAAAAGCAGCAATATTGTGAGTGCATGATGGCGATGGGAGTGAGAAACTTGTTCCCCACAGGCTCCCACTTAGTACGCCATGACGGGCAAGTACTGCTCCGGCACGCGCCCCTGCACGTGGAATTCCTTTGTATCCATGAAAGAAGCCCACCACATCATTTTGTAGTGCCACCGCGTGCACGGGGCACTACGACGCTTCTTTGAGCAGTTCACCGTGAATGTATGTCGAGACTTACCACTCCGCATGGGGATCC